ATATTATTGTATACATATATTATAATATTGAAAAAAATGAAAATGAAAATTTTGTTTTATAAATTAATGCGTCAATTTAAGGAAAAAAAGAGCATAATATTTGCAAGTAAAATTATTAACAAGAAATGCAAAATAAAAAAAAATTTTTTTTTTTTTTTTAATCAGACTTTTATATGGTAGTATATATATATAAAGTATAAGTAAACAGTAAACAAGAAAAATAAACTTGTTAACATGTGTTTGCGGTTTTCTTGAAGATAAAAAAAAAAGAAAGAAAAAAAATATGAGTTGACCTTTCACTTGAACCGGAAAAGACATTTGAAAAAGCACAATAATCAATCATTTCACTTTTATCACAAACTTTCCTTGGTATAATTCATATTTATATTGTTATCTACAATTCTCAGGATGTATTTCTATATTTAAATTAATCATTTTTTTTTTTTTTAATTACGACTTTTAAATTTTATTTTCACAAATAAAAGAATATAATAGACAAAATGGATAATTAAAAATATAATTTAAAAAAAGTTCTAAATAAAGAAAGTAAGAATAAAATTTTTAAAAATGCAAAATAAAAAACGTAAAAATAAAATAAAAAAACTACTAAATGAAAATAGCACGGAAGCAAATCTTTATCTGGAACAGCGATAAGTTTCTCTAAAATAGCGAAAATTTTCGCTGTTTTAATGAAACATATCGCTGTTCCAGATAAAGATTTTTTTTCCATCAGAATGTTTAAAAAAAAAAATTAATTTAAGCTTTTAAAAATAATGTACGTAAATTATTTATATAATTTTAAAAATTAAATAATTTTTTGAAAAAATAGAAAATATTAGAAAGTTTTGAAGGAATAAGCGAAAGAAATATTAAATCGATTGCATTGTATGTGACAGTGTATTCATATATATATATATATTGTATATAGTCTGTATATATTACTATTAGTAGAATTTCTTGTGCATAAATAGAAATGAAATGTAGAGATAAATAAATTAGATGCATAAGTCTTACACATAGTGAATTTCATTTCTCTTTCTCTCTCTCTCTCTCTCTCTCTCTCTCTCTCTCTCTCTCTCTCTCTCATCGATTTGTCGATGGGGAGAAATAGCAAAATAATATTCAATTTCACCTACTCGAAACGATGGAAAATATTCTTACAATTTAATTTCCCCCACCCTCTTCTTAATCCTATAGCAATATTTAATATTTAATGAAGAAAGAAGCAATTTTTACGCTATTCGATTCTTGTTGAAGGAAAACTTTTCTTTTTTTTTTTTATTTTAACCACAAAACAAAAATTTATGTATCAAATATATAGAAACATAGAATATTTTACGAGGCATTAATAAACATTTTTTTTTTCGAATTTTTTATACCAAAAACGAGGCTGTTAAAAATTATACTTTGAATTCATAAAATTAATAGCTTATTTTTAAGTATAATAGAAAAAAAAGTCGATGAAAATTCATTTTCAGTTATATTTAACATGAAAATGTATATCTCTTTTAGGTATATTGAAATTAGAGTATTATATATATACATGAAATTGTGTGTGACTTATGCTAGTTTAGAAAATGAAAATTTATGACAATATTGCGTGTCAGTTGTGGGCTGAAACCCATAAATGAATATTGATTTTGACACGTCATATTGTATTTTATCTAACAAATATATATATATATTCTTTTTAAACGTTTTGTTCAATGAAGTTGATCATTTTGAGAAATAAAAAATTGATATCAATTTATGTAATGGAATGAATTTAATTATTATGAGGATTCAAAAAATTATATGTTCTAAAACTAGATTGTAATTTTTTTCAATTCTTTATTAGAATTTTAAATTAAAAATAGACTAATTCAAAAAATACTAAAACGAACAACGAAATTTTTTGTCACTAAATTTTCAGGATTTCAACGAATCTGAAGTACTCAACGTTTATGATAAACGATTTTTAAAAAAATAATTTTTTTAAATAAAAAATTTCTATAATTTTTTACCTAAAAAAATTTTTTTTTAAATTTGTTGTTGAATGAAAACTACAAGAAATATTTTTTAGGCAAAAAATTATAGAATTTTTCATATTTTTTTTCATCCGGAAAATAAAATTCTATAACTAATTTATTAAAATTTTTTTTAAACAAAATTTCATAACTTAGAATTTACTTTTTTATTAGAAAGAATTTTTTTTTTATCCGAATTTTGATTTTGAATTTATATGTATTTTACAGGAATTTTTATTTTATAGAATTTTTATATTTGTCCGAATAAATATCTAACGAAAAAATTTAGCCAAAAAGTATCCGAATTTTTATTTGTTTAAATTTACAATATACAGAATTTTTTTTTAAAAAAAGGCCGAAATTTTTATTTTCCAAAATTTTTATTTATCCGAATTAAATATCTGTCAGGAAAATTCGTAACAAAATCATTTTCTGTCGATTGTTTGTTGGTCATTTGGAATTTTGGAACAAATGAAAATTTGGTATGTTTAAAATTTCTGTAAAATATAAATTCAAACAAATGAAAATTCGATGTTTTAAAAATTTTGTAAAATGTAAATTCGAACAATTCAAAAATTCAGTTTTTTACAAATTCTATAAAGTAAAAATTCAAACAAATTAAAATTTGACGTTTTAAAAGTTCTATAAAATGTAAATTCGAACAAATTAAAATTTTGTAAAACCAAAATTTGAACAAATAAAAATTCGGCGTTTTATAAATTCTGTTAAATAAAAATTCGAAAAAATAAAAATTTGACGTTTTAACAATTTTGTAAAATATAAATTCAAGCAAATCAAATTTCTGCTAGAAAAAATAATTCTTTCCAATATTTTTCTGTGAAATAACAATTTTTTTTTTATCACTATTCTGTTTAATGAAAATTCGTGTAAATATTAATTCTGTTAAATTCATTGAAACCGAAAAATCTGTATAACAAAAATTCGTTAAAGTAACAAATTCTCTAATATAGAAATTCGGCTAAATGCAATTTGTAACACTAATTCGAAGGAATAAAAATTCGGCTAAAAATAACTTCTATAGGTAAAGAAAAAAATTCAGCAAAAAGTAACTTCTAGGTAAAGAAAAAAATTCAGCAAATTAATTTTCGACCCTAATCATACCGTCACAAAAATTTATATAATTTGTACACTGAAAAAAAAAAATTTATTTGATTCAAATACTCGATTACTTGACTATTATCAAATAAATATTTATTTGTATCAAATAATTATTATTTGAGTCAATTAAATGGTATTTGTTTCAAGTACAAAAATTATTGGTTCAAATACAATTTATTTAATTCAAATAAAAATTATTTGGTTCAAATAAATATTTATTAGATAATACTCAATAGTAATCGAGTATTTGAATAAAATAAATTTTTTTTTTCAGTATATATAGAGAAATATTATTTCCTCTAAATCGTTGCGATTATAACCATTATAAACTTCATCAACGTTCGAGACTCGTTAAAATAGAAAAAAAAAAACTACATAAATTTTAACCTTTTTTTTTTTTTTTTATCAAATCACGCGAAAGAAAATTGATTCCTTTGCTTATTTCTCAACTGGTGATAAATAAATGCCATCATTGCCAAAGTGAATAATAAACGCGAGATAATAATCATTCGTTTTGGTACATATATGTATGTATTTGTCATTACGGTTTATAGATGATTTTCAAACGTGATCTTTCAAGAGAATTTTTTTTTCTTTTTTTTTTTTTTTTTGAAAGAATTATTTAAAAATTGTTCCGCTAATTTATTTTTAGGTCGCGCGTTTCAAGCACACGTTACTTGCATACAAAAAAAAATGAGAAGAAATATATACATATATATGCATTGTTTCGCCTGAGCCGCACGCTTGATTTATGCCATACATAAATCAGAGCATGCGAGAGCCGAAAGCTTGCCAGCCACTCACTGTCCCCAAAAATAGTTTACAGGAGTTACATACACACACACACACACATACATATACAGGATAAAAGAGAAAATGCAATTCGTTCGACATTGACAGAACGCTGTCATGCAATATTAATGAAGCATTGGCGAGTAGAAAAAAAAATACACCGTTTAGACGCGAGAGATTCGAACATAAAACATTATTGCAGCATGTTCTCTCTTGTAAACGTACTTGGAATTTGAAAGCGTGTCATTTATATATATATATACACTCAATTCAATACCTTCAAATAGCGATGTGTCTCTCTCTATGCTTTGTGTCAATATATTCTTTGGACAATAATATTCGTGAATATATTTCGCACCCTGAATTCTAATGTTTCGAGAGAAGAAAAGAAAAAGAGAACGACGTTAAAAGATCTATTCAGAAAGAAAAGAATTACTGTTACTGAAACACTTGGGAGTGAAAAATATGAACTTGGGAATTTTACAATTCAACTTTTTTTTCGTTGAAGAAAAAAGGAAAAATCATCGCTAACATTTTTTTCAGTGTAGAAATAACAAAACGATTTCTAGTTTTCGAAAATCTAAAACGGAAAATAAAAACTCACTGTTTGTAAAGGTGCAAGATATTCTGAATCTCTTTAGTTTGCAAAAAAAAAAAATTGACCCATTGCTCTTTCTTCAGTGTAGAAACAAAAGAAAGCGATTTCTAATTTTCGAAAATCTAAAACCTAAGTTCTGGAATAAAAATTCAGTGTCGTCATTGGAGGTGTAAAATATGAAAATCTAAAATCCAGAATGAAAATTCAGTGTCTTTAGTAGAGGCCTAAAATATTTTTCACTATTTCTTCAGTGAAGAAAAGAAACAATTTCTATTTTTCGAAAATCGAAAACCCAATCGATCGTTGTTGGTATAGTAAATATTCTTCAACTTTTTTTTAAATATATAAACAAGAACTAAAACGATTTCTAATTTTCGAAAATCTAAATTTCAAAATAAAAACCCATTATTGTCAGTAGAGGTCTAAAAATCCACCCTTTTCTTCAGTACAGAAAAAACTTTCGAAAATCCAAAATAAAAACTCACTGTCGTTGGTAGAGGTGTAAGATATTCTGGACGAAGATACTGATTTGCGCTAGAAGTCAGCATCTTGACGAAACAGGTATTATAAAAAATTATTCCAAATTTGTGTCACAAAAAAACTTTTTTTTTCCTATTAACACATGTACACACCAAAAAGAAATATCACACAAATTAACTGGATAATCCAACAAAAAACGTTTTACACTGAAACCTCATACATATATATATATATATCCTCTTAATTTCTGCGAATCACTATTAGGCACCAAAACCCAAAAAAAAAACACACAACACTGGAAAAAATAATTTTCCAAAACTCTTTTTTTTTTTGTTTGATTTTTTTACTTTATCAAGTTTTTTTTGTTAAGTGTACTCTATTCTCGTCAGTGACATTTGAAAGACGTGACGATAAATGAGAGTAGAACAAAAAGAAAGCAAAACGAAGTCAACGTTACGGACTCCGAATCGCAACTGAACGGTGGGGGGAAAGTTGGTGGTATAGTCAGCAGAGTGTGGCAGGCCGGTCGCTTTACCCCCTCCTCTATTCAACTAGAATCAGCGACTATCTGGGGGTTTAGTTCCCCTCCTTCTACTGCTCTTCACCTCTATCCAACAACGTCATCACCACTACCAGTAACAACAGCGGTAGCAGGCAGAAGCAGCAGTATTCCTAGACTTTCGTCCCTGTTGACGGTCACGACGACACGATGTCCTGGCGGTCGTTGTTCGCGCCCAGCCGACATTCGACCCGAACAACGACGTGTCAACTTGTGCAAAATCCCACTCTCCCTCTCTCTCTATCTCTCTCTCATACCCCCCTTTTTGTATATAAACCGTCGGCATCGTCCGCGTTCACCACATCACGTTTTCATCACTTTTACCCCTTTCTACTATAGCACAAAAAACTTGTATGGATCTTTATGTCATACAATTTCTTGACATGTAATAAAAATTATTCTATTCATATAGGATTATATGTATACATATATATTTTGCAAATTAGGTTTCTTTATTTTTTAAATTTACACTGAAAGACTTTTTATTTGAAAAATTAATATAATTTGTTTCAGAATGAGAAAAACTATTTAGTCGAAGGAACAAACTATAGTTTCTGACCAGATAATACTGAAAATTAGTTATGGGCATATTAATTTTTTTGGTAATATTTGGTTAGAAACTAGTACGTGTACGAATAAATAGTACTAGAATAGAGTTTTCTTCATTTTGAAACAAATTATATTAATTTTTGAAATATTAAATTCTTTCAGTGATATTCTATCTCAAAATCCACGGAGAAAAATGGAAAAACGAATAAAGTAACTTTTACTATTTTAAAAGTAAAACCTGAACTGTCTGCAGTTTCTGCGCACTTTTAGGAATTTTTACTACAGAAATATTAAAATTTACTCCGAAAATAGTAAATTGTACTCCTGAAATAGTAAAAATTATTCTGGAAATAGTAATTTATACTATTTTCTGGAGTAAAAATTGCCAGCCCACTTGGAAAGATTCCCCGGAAAGTGCCCCCTGGAGGTTCTATCAGAATTCCGCCGGAACTTCCAACGTAATTCCGTCGGAATCCCATCGGAAATTCTTTAGAACTCCGATGGAATTCCGACGGCATTACGTTGGAAGTTCCGGCGGAATTCTGATAGAACTTCCAGGGGGCACTTTCCGGGGAATCTTTCCAAGTGGGAAAAATGCACAGGAACTGCGGGGACAGTTCCGGTTATATACTTTTAAAGTACAGTAAAAGTTACTTTATTCATTTTTTCCTTTTTTCTCCGTGTCTGAATTATGGTGAGAAGTGAGCAACTAATTTAAATTAGTAAGAATTTTGCACTAATTTTTAATAATCACTTTTTACATAAACTTTAGTAAAAACAATTTAAAACTACTGAAACAAATAGTAATTTTTTACTATAAATTAGTAAAAATTCCTACTTTGAATTAGTTGCTCACGTTTTACTAGAGTTCGAAAATTTAAATAGTTCTTAAAACCAACAACGAATTCTTAATTAGCGACCCCAAAAACCCCCCGAGTAACAAATTTCAGGTAAATTGGAACAATTTTTCAAAAAGTCGTCAACCATAGTTGAACCGCCATTTTGAATTTTGAAAAACTAATACTGGATTCGTAATTAGCGACCTTGCAAAGCCCTGAGTAACAAGTTTCAACCAAATTGCAGTAGATTTTCTAAAAGTCTTCCGCCATTTTGAATACGCCATTTTGAATTTAGGAAAACTAACACTGGTTTCGTTATCAGCGACCTTGAAAACCTCTAAGTAACAAGTTTTAAGTAAATCGGTTAAAATGTTTTAAAAAAGTCCGCTATATATTGAGTCCGACATTTTGAAATTTGATAAACCAACATCTTATTCGTAATCAGCGACCCCGAAAACCCCCAGGTAACAAATTTCAGATAAATTAGATCAATTTTTCAAAAAGTCTTCCGCCATATTGAATACGCCATTTTGAATTTTAAAAAACTAACATCGGATTCGTAATCAGCGACTCCAAAATCCCCCAAGTAACAAATTTCACGTAAAATGGATCAATTTTTCAAAAAGTCGTCAGCCATAGTGGCTCCGCCATTTTGAATTTTGCAAAAGTAACATTGGATTTATAATACAGGTCTACAAAATAAGACTTTCAATTTTTTTTTAGAATTCGAAGTGGTTTTCAATGTATTTTTGTATGCTGAACACGATCCCGTGTTCCAAAATTGCGTATCATATCATAATTTTGAGTTAAGTGGGGGTAAAGACCCCAAAAAATTGTATTTTCGAGGGTTTTTAGTATTTTTTTCTGCTTAACCCGATGTGCTAGAGAAATAAAAAATTGCTTACAGATGCTAACTGCACTGAAAAAAAAATTTATTTGATTCAAATACCGGTGTATTTGGTTATTATCAAATAAATATTTACTTGAATCAAATATTTCTTATTTGAATCAAATAAATGGTATTTGCTTCAAATACTGAAATATTTGATTCAAATACTATATATTTGATTCAAATAAGAAATATTTGATTCAAGTAAATATTTATTTGATAATAACCAAATACACCGGTATTTGAATCAAATAAATTTTTTTTTCAGTGTGCTGTTTGCCATCAGATCTATCAAAATTAGTAACCGTACAGCTAAATTCTTTGCTATGACAATGAAAAAGTTTGCTATGATAAACAATATCAGTCTTAGTTTTTAAAAATTTACTGTCACAGTAAACTTTTTTTGACCAGACAGCAAATTTGTTCGCTGTCCCTATATATTAGCTAACGTAATTTAATGTGACAACATATAATTCGCTGCTACAGCAAATTTTTTCTATACGTGTAATTTTTTTTATATTTCAAATATCTGTAATAACATTATTATTTCTGTAAGAGGTGAGTTAAAACTGTAATATACAACAAGTATGTTGTCCATTTTAATTTATTCCATACACCCAACATGTAATAAATGATGAGCGGAAATGTGAAAAGAAAAAAATTAGTCTTTACACCATGCAAAATACATCTCGCGAAACACACTGTGATAATAATTGAAATGTATATATATATATATATGCGCACACACACATATTATAATTATTTCTGTAATTCACCATCATTTAATTCAACCCACACACGTATTATAATATATACCAAAGTCACAATGTTATTTATCACATTTTGATGTAAATTACGATATAATTGTTTGGCACTTATATATTTAACATAGCAAATTACATTAAAATATAATCTCAATCATTGATACAATCTCCATATGTATATATAAATGCGTTGTTACAATGCCACTATATGTATACGTTAAAATTTCTCTCTCTATATATAGTGTATTACACTACCGTGTAAATTAATCATAATGAAGTTCCCAACTGTGTATATAGCTCTTGTACCGAATATGCGTATATACCATCTAGTGAATTATCCATGTAGCATTAATAAATCCATATGATTGTCCAAAAGCATAATATATTGCATTGCAGGATAATTGCAAGTTGGACCATTAATGCAGAGGGACAACATATTTAATCGGCGAACGTTGGTCAATTGTAGATATATTTCATACGGACAATTACATTATTTATCTTTTTAATGATAACACACGAATCCGAGGTAGTACTACCATCATCTATCATTTGTTAATTATTGTGGTTTAAGCCACTTATCCGAGATGTTACACTCCGATAATGCAATAGTAATAATAATAATGATATATATATATATATATATACACTGTAAAAAGTTTTGGTAAATTTTTCTATTATTTCTTGTGTAAATTTTACAATTTTTATAGATGGGGGGCAAAATTTTGTGAAGTGATTCAATAGCAATTGAAATTTTTGAAAAAAATCATAACTATTGTACCTACATGTAGTTTTATGTGCGCGCTGCCTCTTGATGTTTAGGTTGAGAACCCACGCACGAGGGAAGGGAGAAGCGAGCAATCATTGGTCGCTCTCCACCGTTTACAGAGTTCTCAACTTGAATATTAAAGAACTTTTTACTCTTTGTTGTGTAACTCACTCATTTTTGCTTTTTTTAAAAAGTTAATGTATAGAAAACTTGTTATAACATATCAGCTTTAATTAAAAAAAAAAAGAGAAAGTTGAAATATATTTAATACTTTTATTTTCATACTACTTTATTTGAAGATGTGCAAAGCGCGCCAAGTAACCCCGGCCTGGGGTAGCGTGGCGCAGGAGTGAAATTAGAATTAAATTATATGATTTAAAGTTTAAATAATATAAGACTTAACAAATTAAGTCTTGTACTGTAATTTTACAATAAAATTATTTTAAATTTAAAAATTAGAAAATTTTATTTAAATTAAATGAAATCGTAAAATTACCAAAAAAATTTTTTTTTTTTTGATAATAACGCTGTGAATATTTAAAAACCATTATTCGGTTAAATTTTTTGAATAGCATTGTTATTGGTGCTTATTAATGTGTAAATTTCATATAATCAACTTCATTTTATTAATATTTAACGAAATTTTCAGATAACCGTGCCACCTAACCCTGAATGTACTTTTGAAATATTTATTAATTTTTTATAAAAACTGTTAATATAAATCAAAAATTTTTTTTTGTTTCTTAATAAAAAATATATAGAGCTCAAAACTTAATATTTGAGCTCTTGTAAAATAAATTTTTTAAAGAGATATCACAAAAAAATGAAGAGGTTAAAAATTACTTTGGAGTGCCAAAATCAGTTATTTTAATCTATACTCCACAATAATTAATGAATATTAATGAAATTTTGTACAAACTTACAGTTCATCAAGTACTTTAAGCAGAATAAAGAGAAAAATTAATGTATAACTTAACTTTTTGAATAAACTCAAGTGCGACAAACAGCCACGGTCTCCCCTATATAAAATTGTGAAAAAATTTTGACGTATATGAATGTACGAATTCGATGTCAGTTTTTGAGGAATTTTAAAAAACTAATATCACATTCGTTTTTAAC